CGTGACTTTTATTTTCATTTTGTGCAAAATTATTCATCTTGGTGCAGAATCCATTCATTCACATTACAGAGGTTTTTAGATAATGTATGATGGACATAACTTTATGAATCCCAGCTACTTTCTAAACTAGAATCAGACCATTTTACACAATAAATATACCTTTTTTCCTCCACTACATAGGGAGTGCTGCTCAGACTTTCTTCGCCTGAACTCTGGCTTTGCCTGTCATCCTTTGCTTCCCATATTTATTTATATACTTTAGGACGACTTTATGGCGGCACGCTGCAGTGCAGCCTGTAATTGCTGCTCAAGGCACGTTCATCAGAGTTCATACAGGTTTCTCCGTAAATGCATTCAGGCTGGCCTGGTGTCACCTCACACGAAAAGACAAGAGATGAATGGAAAGACTAAGGGTATTTCATTGCTACTTACACAAACTGCAGAAGCACATGACAACTGAATACACACTAGCTGTGAAAACTCCCACAGACACGCACATGCAACCTGGCCTGCTGTCCCACAGAAGATTAAGATATATTACACTCCAAACCAGTGAGCATGTCCTTGCCTTATTTCACCATGAAAGGTTTCCTCTCCTGCTACCTTTCATAATCTTCCATTGGAAGCAATAATGAATTTTTAGATCCCAAATCCAGAGGTGTTTTACAAGTGACAAAAGCATGTAAAATAGGACCTTCATGGGTTGAGTGATGTGACGTCAAAGATATGGATAATCAAGTTTGTTTTTCAGCAGCTCAAACCCTTTTTATTTTGCTCAGCTATCACGATATATCTTGTAAATCAGACTTAATTGTGGCAATTAGGCAAATACGTACCTTTTTTTTTTCATTTCTGCACTTGTATTTCCCCCCTCTCAGAAAGTCCTGATTAACGTTTAGCTGTTTTTAATGTTAAAGCCACTAGTTAGACTCCACTGAAGCAGATTGCTTTAAACATAATGCAGAAAAACATTTCTTTAAAGCAAGTTAATTTGCAGAAAATAAATTATTTACGTAAGAGACTACTCTTTCTCAACAAAATACCATGTGTGAAGAGCTTATTGTCTTTATTTTTAATTGTGGGAATGGGATTGTTGAGGATTTGCTTTGGTTGAGCGGTGACCTAGGTGACGCATTGACAAGTAATGCTAGGGAACAAAACGTTTTTCTGTCTCTGCAAAGTATCCCATATAGTCTTTCACTTGAAAGGACATTTGTCTGAACATACAGCATTATAACTTTTTTGAATAACGCAATTTATATGTAATACCACCACTAGTAAAACCTGCAGGATTATTTTTCTCTTCGGCCATTGCTCCTTAGTTTGGGAATTTGAACTTAATCGGACACTGAGTGGCCCGTAAGAAAATGAAGATGAAGTACGGCCACTCACAGCATTACTCACTCAGATGCAATTAAATGACTGTCTTCTTGTCCTCACTGCTTTTACAATCTAATTGCTGCACACATTGTCCTTAACAACAGACCACTGACTGCACTGTGCTTGTGGCCAGTCGAGTTCAATGCTTCTTTCTTTCCAAGTTTCTTCTCTCAGTCCTCTGTATCCTTTAGCTCAAGGTGAGCTAATTACTGTGATGCATTGCATAGTAATCTAACCTTCTCCAATTGTCAATGGTGAAGAAACAATTTTTAAAAAATCCCAATGGAGTGTGTTTTTTGTCAGTATGGCAAGCAAAGCATTAACTAAATCAAAATACAGAGCTGCTGGGGAGCGCACACCGTCAAAAACAGAAAATACTTTGAGAAATTGAGCACTTTACCAAAACTTAAGTAACAGATTATATTTCTAATATCGCATTGTGAAGTGTTTGCTAGTTTGGTTGTGTTAATCTAAACGTTCACAGTTCTATTTCTTACAGATATATCAAACTTTGGAGCATATGAAGAGCACTTAGGAAGCCATTAAGATAACACCCCTAACCTTTCCACAGTTAAAAATAAGGGCTCCATCCCAAGAATGACAGACAACAACAACCATTCATAAAAACCTAAGGTCAGATAAGAATCACCTGTTCTTCTGAATATAGAAACTTAAAGAATACCAGTAAATACAGACAAAAAATTGAACAAAAAAAAGTTTACTGTGTCAATAACTGACAAACAAATGTAACAGAATTGAGAAATGGATATCGGCTAATCAGTTGCTAATCATTGCAGCATTTTCAGCAGATTTCTGCTTGTATCGGCCAGATGGCAAAATGTGTGTACTGGAATAGAGTCTTGCAGACTCTGCTGACTTTTACACCACTAATGTGATAATGGTGTGGACTCAGCAGTTCATATATATATGGTTGTAATGTTGACGATCAAGGAAACCATCACATTTCTTTTTTGTTTTAGTTTTAGATATAGATGGCACGATGAGAACACCGCCTATGAAAAAAAGCCTACACCGTTCAAGGACCACTGAATACCTATACATTGTATTCTGGGAATTTTAGATTCAGCTGCTTTATTCCCACATGGTATAGAGACACAGGATCTGAGAGGGGCAAAGTGATAGTGAAAGAAAAAACAGACAATTGAAGTAACCAGACTTGTCCAAGAAATATTGAATAAAAGCTCCAACAGTCTGTGTTGTGAGAACCCGGTCATGGAAAAAGAAACAAAATAAATCTATTCAGATATTTTACTAGGGGTATATGCCAACAAGACCGTCACACAGCATCTATTTAAAACACATCCAAGGGAAATTTCCTCTGCACGCACTGCCAAAAGACTGTATTCAAATGGTGAATAGCGCATAAATGTACACAAAAATACATTCTCAAGCACATGTCCGTTGATCACAAGCAGTGGTCAGAGGATATGCTGCATAATCATTCACTCTCACACACATTCACACTGTGACCGTTTTATAACCGGAAAGTCAGTCTGGTAGCCAGCAGTGTAATCGGACTTTTGAGCTGCAACAAACCTAAATTTAAACCACATGAGGTCCAAACTGAATAAAAACAACAGAAACAAAGCAGAAACGCTCATATTTACCAAAATGAAATCTATAGTACTCATATTGATGTAACTCCAATAGAAAAATAAACTCAACAGTGCCTGGACTTATAAAAGCTGTTCCAAAATCCATTCACTTCTCTCAGGTGAGTCAACTTAACACACAAACAAACTATATATATATATATATATATATATATATATATATATATATATATCGCCAGTGTTCTGTACTCTGTTCCAACAAGTCTATATCTCTTACTGACTCCCTAAAACACACACTGACAAGCTCCCTCCTCACATTTGGACAATCTGACACATATCTGCACTGCAGGAATAATCCACATGCTCACTAAATGTCAGTGTCTCATGTCCATGGGGCATGATTTTAAAAGGAGAGAGGAGAAAGGATAGGAGGCTACCAAGTGGGATCAAACCTCGTCGGACTCTCAGATCTCCTAGCACAAAGAAATAAGTTGAATTTACTCAGGGAGCTCTGTGTTGTCAGAGAAGGGAGCATCAAACAATTACAACAAAAGAGAAAAATACAACTCTCAAGAGATATAGAGTTTGTAAAAGTTACCAGGATGGAGAAGAAGATGTAAGTTTTTTTTGGCACTTGCTGTAAAGTAGTGCAACCACTTAGCTGTGATCTTTTCTGTTTCCTTTTACAACAGGAAGCACTTTTATTTGGTTAAACCAGGGAATTATGCCAATACTGATACTCCTTTCAAGTACAGAATCAAACATTTGATCAAAGGTGCTGCAGGAGAAACTTTAAACGTCTCAAAGGGGCTCTATTGGTGGGTGAAAATGTATCATTTAGCAGAATTCATCATTCTGCCAAAAAAATAAAAGACAAAAAGTCAAATAGCTGTGAGTTTCACATAAAGGCAAGGATTGAAAAAGAATTTGGAAATCAGGGACTGCCAACCTTTATTTACATTTCCTTAAAGTGGAGGAGGAAAATCAATGTGGATACAAACAGTGTAATGGATCAGCAATGTGCTCCCTTAGGAAGGGAGTGCTGAAGAAGTCCTGGCAGAGTGTTGCCGAGGAAAGGAACAATTTACCTGTCATTTTTATCAGCTCTTTGCAATCTCACATACACATATCTTAGTTGTGGAAGTCTAACTGACCATCTTTTTCCTGCAGCATTCTCAGACAGAGTAGTGCAAGACTATATATCCATATATATATATATATAAATGTATATGTATTTAATTCCTATGACATTTCATCCCAATTTATTCTCTGTGAAAACTAAGCTGCACATGTAGATTCCAAATTGACAGTAGTGTGGTGAGTTTTCAACAAAGTTTTCAAAAAAGATATTCCCAAATGATACACCTATGATATCTCTCATGTTATTTTTACTTTTTTGTTGTGAAAAAAGGAAGCAAAAAGTGTTGGGAAAAGTGTGAAAGATGCATTTGCTTGAACAAGTTCAGCAGAGTGCCAGTACAAATATATGGTGTGGTTTGGCTGCAGTGTGAACACAATTCCAGTATGGACTCTGAAGTGTTTGCATAACATTATGTGTGTGTAGCAGCACTATACGGTCACCAGTGATAATTGAGCTTACTAATTACTTCCTGTGCTGAGAGAGTTGTCAAAGAAAGGAGGAGCTGCCACATATGGTAAGAGATCCACACTGATACCAGGAAATTCTGCTTCTTCGTCATTAGAGCAGAGGACATGCGTTTGTGTGAAAGTAACTAAAAGTATGCGTGAAACTACTGGACTGAGCGTTCAAATCATACTTTACCGGATAATACTCTGTAGAAGTAAGCGATTAAGCGAATGACTAGTATCCTCCTATTTTATTTTTAGACACTATTAGTAACATTTCTGACAATGACATGAGCCAGCTCCACAGAGCCAAATTAGCATATATCCACTTCCAGCCTTATTTCTCCCAGGCTCCCTCCTGAAAGAGGGCACCTGCATACACCTGTAAAAGTGCTGAACTGCCCTTCAGTCCCCATTCACACATTCACAGCTCAGCTCCCTCTGCTGCTGGATAACCACTTACCACTGTGAAGATCCCTCCGTGCCGCTGACCTCCAGCAGGTCGTAGTCATCCTCGAGCTGGAAGTCGGAGAAAACCAGGGCGATGGTGTCTCCCGGCTCGGCCAGCACCGTCCAGGTGCAGTCGGCATTGTTGTTGTACTCGGCTGGGTAATTGGGGGTGGTGATCACCCCACTTTGGCCCCGCAGTGTGCCCCCACATCCATCATCCGCTGCAGACAGTGGACGAAAAAGAAAGTTGTGAATATCTTCATATACAAAACGTGTAAATGTTAATAATGTGTAGGGAATTACACACAGGAGGAGACCAAGAATTAAGATTTTTTAAAACTTTTTTGGGTGGGGGTCATCTCTTAAAAAAGACCGTAGTAGAAAGATTCATATTCATTGCTACGGAAATATTCATTCAAAATGACATAGGATATTCTCTACTATACACTTGTTGAGAAAACAGTTTGGGGACAAACTCCACCACAGAAAACATAGGATTAGACAGAATTATTTTTTTTTTCAAATTTGGAAATTGTGTACTGGGGGAAACTGGTAGGCTTATTTAAAGCCTAGATTTGCACTTACAATCAACGTTACTGATGTTACATTAGACTAGAGGTAGGAGAATACTGTTGATTTTTTCTCTCACTCACACTGACATAACAGCCAGGTGTTGAAATATTCCTTATTAATTCTTTAGCCTCTCAAAACTGAAGTCTGACAATAAGACTCTACCATTAAATTCTGACTGAATATATAATTACCACCATGATATTGTACCTGTCCAAGTTCTACCCCCTCAAAATCTCCTCTGTGCTGATGGTTTGTATTACTAATGACATAGATATAGTTGAACTGGAACGATCCGTCTTTCTATAGGACGTGCACATCAACTCAGTGGAAACTTGGGTAAAGTTTCAATAGGAACTTTTAGTGCAATTTATTATATTAAAAAATAGAAGGAATTTGCATTTACTCACTACCCATGCTTTTGCCACAAGACACAGAAAGCATACTATTAAACTCGGCAGCCAGAGAATGTGTAATGAGTTAAAGCAAATCATTCCTTTGTCTGGGATTTTTGTGCCACAGGCCAGGGAGACAGCAGTCACAGGAATCTAAAATACCTTACAGTCTTTTTACAGTCAGCAGGAAGTAGGGTAGGGGGCATGATGCAAACTAATGCAACATGGAAGTGATTAAATTCAGATTAATTCAGATTTGTGTAAATCAAAGCAACTATTCACTCCTTAAGATAGCTTTAGGGAGACCATTGAAAAATACAGCATTCATTTAACGTGTTACCAGGACAATACCCAAGGCTGAGGTTTCTAATATTTGTATTAAGGCTTTGAACATTAGTGAAATCTTGAAAGAACACTTATACACTGTATGTCGAGTGAAATACATCAATGGACAGATGAAATTGATGAAAGAATTTTAACACAATTTATTCTGATCGCTCGTGCGTGTCCATGCTTGTGCATGGGTGCACACATGTTGTGTAGGGGTTGATTATGGCGTCCAGTGTTTGATGTTTGAAGATGGTAGGAGGACCTCAGGAATGTTAGGCCCTGTCTATCATCCATCCTACCTGTCACCAAGGCAAACCCCTGAGGGAGAGCAGCGGTGTGTTTGGACCAGCAAAAACCTGTGAGGTGTGAATTTCAAGAGGAGGGAAACAACGACAGAAGAGGGGGATGAAGAAGATGACAGGTGACATGCAAGGATGGCTGAGAAAAAAAGTTTGGAGGGGAAGGTGGACAATAAAGAAAGAGAAATATGGTGTGAGGGGTGACAGGTGATTGTTGCTGTGGGAGTGACAGGAAGTGGAAAACAGACGCAAAAAAAAAGAAGGAAGGGGGAACGCATTGATATTCCACACAAGAATGCTTCTTCACACTTGAAGGGAACTCTCTGGACTAACTCTGCACCTCAGCTTGACTCCTCGTCACTCTCTCCAGTCTGAAGCTGACACTGGCTAATGCAACCACTGAGCATCAATGGAGCCAAACCAAAATATACTGACAACCATGTGAAAATATACAAGAAACTGTTGAACATCTTAAATGCAAGTTGTGTCACCTCTCTATGTCATTTGAAAAAAAAAAAGAACCTTTCCTCTGTTGGATATATTATATTTTCAAGCCATGAGTGTCATATTTTTTTGTTAAAAGTAAGAGGCTGCTTTCTTATCTGAGTGTGCAATGGTCACAGAGAAATTGGAATTAAAATAAAAGAGAACAGTATCAAACATTGGAATTCTATATGAATCAAATGCAAATGTATGTTCCTATATAACATGCTCCCACACAACAGGAAGATAACAAAATTAACACTTCACAAGCAAATAAACCAGAGAATATTTTATATTTTAAGGACGAGCAGTGGCAGTTAAGTTTTGAATAGAAGCAACCCAGATACCACAAAGTATGTAAACAATGTACATAGCATTGAACCATAAAATTTGACAGTAAAGTTTTAACTTTCCGGGGTCCAGATAGTCGAGGGAACCAAAATATTGTGATTTCTCCAGTATAAGCTCTGTTCCTGTACATATGGGAAACTTTCTAACATTGGATTAGTATAGTGATACACCTATACATAATGAAGGAGCATTCAGGTGTACATGTTTACTTTTATTTAGTGCTAAGAACCCTCAAACAATACAGTTTCTTCATTACATGTAATAAATCGCAAAGAAAAAATAACTCATTGGCCATACGATCATTTCTCCCTATTAAGAGACGCACAGGCCTGTGTGTGTGTGCCTGTGTGTGCCAGGCTGCGTATGGGCCGTGCTGGCGTGAGGTACCCTGCCATGTGTGCTCCTATGTGGGCTTCCTGACTCCCAGCCTTGCTACAGATGGCATAGTGTCTCAGCAGTCTGCTCAGCAGGCACACTGACACAAACCAATGGCCACATGGATGCATAGGTACGCAAACACATGGGCACACAAAACAGAAAGTGGACATATATGGGACGTATAAGCTTGCATGCCTTGGACATGTGCATGCATGTCTCTTGTGGCTGAGCAACTGAAGTAGAATTACTAACAATTGCATCACTTCTGCTTACAGAGAAGTGCTCAAAACTCTAAACTCTCGCATATTTGGTCAGACAACACATACTGGCAGGTGTCTTTGCTGCAGGGGAGCTTGCTAACCCTAAAGGAAGGGTAACTGGCACAATCACTGAACTGGGAGCAAACATATGAGGTGCCACAGAAAAGTGCCATAGAGAAAATGTTACCAGGTCATATGATGATAAATTAACACAACTCTGTGACGACTGGGTCCTCAGTTTAATTGACTGGTTAATAAAAACATAAAACTGGTTAAAATATACATTTTTAAGAATTTCTTTATGGTTAATCATAATGTGGAGTTGAAAAAATATCTATCAGTGACATGATTTGAGCTAATTGTACCAACTTTGGGGTCTCAATGTTTTATAAATGGATTTTTAGCTTTTGAATTACAACCGATCAAGATTAGGACTAAAATGCCTTCAAATGGACTGTGCCCATAACTACTCATCCTACATACCTCTGCAGTATGGGAGAGGAAAATCCCAGGCCGCGGTACCCGCTGAAGTGGCGAGGCAGGACAGCGTGGTGTGACCCTCCAGTACGTAGCCAGGGCTACAACTGTAGCGTATTTTGTCCCCAATGTTGAAAGTGGAACCCTGCTGGTGGCCATTCAGTAGCTGCCCAGGATTACCGCATGTGTAACTGGGCAGAGCTGGAAAAATCACAGAAAGGCGACACAGTTAGTAATGCATCCTTTGTTAGAAAAGATCACAGTGAGAAAATTATTGTGGGGGAAGAAATACAATTAGAAACAACAATGCAATTTAGTTTGCTTGTGATAACATTTGTGATTTTTTTAGTGACATCTTTTAAAAGTTTAAAAAAATAGAGAGTTTTACATTTTCAGATTAGTCGGTCATGGATAGTCTTAACCGTTGACATGGGAACGCATACAAAAGTATAAGCTCAATATGAAGAAAACCATTATCTAATCATCTCATTATGTAAAACAGGTTCAAAGGAAGTTCAGCCAAGCACTCGTCTCTCACTCTTTGTGTCAGTTGACACATGATCCCAGATTATGTTCTCTTTTTTGACAAACACTTCAGTGGTTGAATCTTCACAGCTGCATTTTGGAAATCCTGAGAGTAAAATGCGTTCCATGCTCACGAGAACTCCTCCATTCAGTTTATGGCCCCGGTCAAACATTCACATGGTGATGAGGCTGGCCAGACCATTTGCTGGACTTTGGATGAAACTCAGTCCCCCCACAGGGACTGGGCAAAGCCAGGCAAGTGGAGAATGGCAACAACACAGCCCACAGGCACCTCATTTTCACACCAAAAGTACACTTATGCTTCTAGCCCAGTAAATGTCTTCAGAATTTCATATCAAGCATCTTAGAATGAATTAAGACTTTTCTTTTTTCCCCATTCACCCTAAATGATTGTATTTCCAAACAATAATTTGTAAAAAAAAATATATATATTTTTTTATCTCTAAATAGCACTACAGAACATCAGAACATGTTTTATTTTGAATAAAATAAATAGAATAAAATAAATAAATATATATATATATATATATATATATATACATATATATATATATGATACATTTAAAAAACAAATACAGAAAGACTTTACTCTGTCCTCCATTGAATCAGTTTTCAAATAGCACTAAAAATTTCCAAAAGATTCTGAATGTTTCATGTAAAAGTCACAGTCGCAAAACGTGATGGTTTTAAAGAGGAAATGGACGTTTCTTTTCCAGGGAGTTTAGCCTCTCGTCATATGACTCCAACCGATCCCAACAAAACAACAGTAGCCTTGAGGTTGTCTCCATGGCATATCTATATGTCACTAAGATGGGAGACTAAGACATGGTTTGTCCCCGGAGCCCTGATTCTTTAAGCACTTCCACTGCTGAGATGGCAAACGATGCTACTCGTTCATCAATGCAGCTGCCTCTATTGCACAAAGCCTGCAATGTGTACACACACAATAAGAACAAGGTGCTTTGCCATCCATCACATAACTCTAGCCCTACATCATCAGTTATTTTATTCCTTCCTTTTTCTCCTTATCCTCTTCACATTTTTGATGACTAGGATAAAGGAGAGTAAAGGAGAGTGTAAAGGCTTTTGACCTGAGTAAGACTGAATGTCTTCATTAGTGTCTTCAGGTCTTTTCTGTCATTACTCATTCCCTGTTCTTGATATGGAAATAGTTATATATTCCACATTTGGCACAAAACACTATAGTTGTTGAAGAAGTCTTGTATTTTTAAAATAGCATGAATGTGCAATACAGAATTGTCCGTTGTTAACCTTGGCTCTTATCCAGCGGCCGCGGGACTAAGATCCAACCTTCCAATGACTCAGTATTGGACTGAGCCAAGCATAGAGAATCAATGGATGGATGAATGTGCAACAGTGTGTTGGGACTTTAAATGAGGATATCAATGGCTCTGAAATCAGCTGAAAATGTATTAATGCTTACAAAGGGTAACTACAAAAGAGTGGATCTGTACTCTTGAACTGATAAGTTCATTAAGGTTCCTAGTCTAGGACTGCTGCTGTAGCAGACTTTTGACAGGTCAATGTGGGCAAGAAAACAGGCCAATTATGTCAGGGCCTGGCACTGGTTTGCCTTTAATTTTTCCTCTTGATTCTTGGTTGAGTTGGGCAATTTGCCGATCCTCCCTCCTGAGAAGAGACGCGGTTATAACTGTCCAGCTGTTGCACGTGTTGCTCTTCAGTCTCACTTAAAAGCATCTCTTACGGACCAACTATATATATACATATATATATACAATTGCAACATACCTACCTGCAGTGCAAAATTAGAAATATCTAACCAGAGGGGTCAAAACATAAAGAAATAATCAATGTATAAAACCTTTGTCATACTTTATCAATTGCAACTACATATTTTTAAAGAAAAAAAATCACAATAAGAACTCTGTCACTGCCAAATCCAAGCAGGGCAGACAAATCACTTAAAAATATAAACTAGAATTAGCATTGGTTATCCTTAATTCACAGATACAGGTGAAGTGAAGGAGCCTACTCCTGTGCAAAAACCATGTTAAAGGGACTCACACAGAATTGATGGCACCCAGCACTGTCTTCAAAATGGAATAATGTGCCATTGAGTAGCCATTCACTATATCTGAGGCTAAAATAAGAAGGATCAGGGAGCATCAGAGACTTCAAGGAAAGCCATAAAGCAGACAAGAGACAGGACTGGGGGGGGAGGCCGGGAGGAGAAATCAGTACATCTGTGTACAGCCTTGACTCTGTATTGAAGCACCTAAATCCCCATGACTCTTCAGGCTTATCTTTCTACTGACATTATTCTTGACAAAACACACACACACAAAGTAATTGTGTGGTCCCACTTAGAAAAGCTCAGGTACTAGTGATGCTTCTAACAACCAATTTCCCAGTCAAATAAGCATTTACCGAAATTCAGACAAGATAAGAAAGCACTTTGAAAGCCAAGTACAATGACATTATCGGTGTTTCAGATTCAGAGTTTAAGCTTTTTTTTTTTTTTTTTTCTTTTCTATAATTAAAAGGAGCTTGGTGTTTGTTGGAAGCGCTATAATTGCAGCTGAATAGGTTAGGTTGATTGATAAGGCAGGTATAGCTCTATGGATTGATGACCACTAAGGATTGTCTATTCCAATGACCCACATTAAAAGATAAAGTTGAAAACTATCAAGTTTGGCTAAAACAAAACAAAATGTTAAATTATACATAACTAATATGGAAAAAGTATTGAAAAAAAAATCTGTGAGGCGAGTCTGTGGTCCAGCGTTTCTTTCATTGATATAGTTTCATGTAAGATCAATGAAATTATTACATATCATTTCAAAGATTTTCATTCTGGCTACACATATTAAGTTAGGCTTGCAACCACATTTAAGATAACCTGCGATTTTGGAGTCCCACATGCCCAATTACTTGCAATCTCATCATAAATTGATTTAAAAAAAGACTAATTTAATTCAAGTCATGATTATTCATTCCACAGGTAAACTTAAATGATGCCAACTAATACAGACAAGGGCAACTCAGAATCCTTTAGAACAAGTAATCTTATTTACTTGCCATATTACTGGTTTCCAAGACCCAAGTTTCAATAAAACAACAATTACTTTCACAAACTATATGGCTCATATGCTGGAGTTAATTGTCCACAAAACCGAAAGTCACAGTTTAATCGTCAGCAGTTTTTATGAGCCAGAATGCTCGTGTAATAAACTGAACCCTATATAACATAACGGTAACTATTACTGCAGATCATTTATTGTGTATTTCCAGTGCCAATCAAGAAGAGCAAGTACATTTAACTGTCCATTCGATTGCACATCAGGTCAACAAATCTAGTTCTTCAAAATAAAAGATTATGTATTTTAAAAAGGAGAATGAAAACAGGATTACTGCATCAATTTATTGCTTTTAAAAAACAAGTTGGCAATTATTACGATCTCTTTTAGATCTACAGTTGGCAATTTTATGTCTTAATTTATTTCAGATCTTCATCTAAGAGACTAATTCTAATGAGTTTTTAGACTGCCAAAGAGCCAGCTATTATTCCCTGATGAAAATTAATTGTATGTGTAATCTACAAGTTTGGTCTATAAATGTATAACTTTGTGCCAACACTTACAACCTGGGTTAGGGTTAGGGTTACTTTTCACCTCAAATTCCTGTTTTTGAGGTGAAAAGTAAGGTCTCCCACCTTTCTATCTTATTTTCCAAAAATTAGTTTCACTCTGCATTGCTTCAGCCAGCCCTCATTGCTGCACTCAGCAGGTTGCCTTGGAAACTGTAAAGGCCCACCAGGGAGGACCGTGTGGTGGGGGGGAAATGTGGATGTGTAAAAGTAGAATTTCTACGGTTTGTGGGAGTACTTAAAACCAGAGTTAAGCTCTTTTCTTCTAATGTAAGGCAGTGACTTAAAATGTTCTAGTTTTTGCAACTTAATTGAAGATCATTAAGATGATCTTTAGTTATAAGATTTATACAGCGTTAATCTTAGAGGACTCAACTAAACATAAAAGCGCATATCTTCTTCCAATAAATGCATTTGAACATGGTGTTAAATCCCGATTATGATCCCTTGTTGATGAAACACACTTGGAAAATAGGTTGGTAGATGTGTTTCATCCATTCACAAGACTATTAAGCAAACTAACGACAGAACAGCTCAGATGCATCGTTGATTAATTTATAAATCCTCTTTCATGAAATCACTTCAAATCAAGGAGCGAGTTCTTACCTCTCAAGTAGGTGTGTTACCCATTTCCCTACTTTAATACAATAGTCAATGTGGATGTTTCATTTTCTGCATTTGCATCCTTGTTCATAATAGATTAATTTTCGGCGGTTTATAGTGTAAATGTTTATTTTCACACCCAAGAGCTCCTTTAGAATTATTTGGATGTCTGGCACAGTCCAGCATCTTAAGATTTTGTGGCAATACAGTTTATTCATGCAACTAAAATATGAGGTAGAAGAGAAAATACAAACGTGTCATGAAGAAAACATAATGCAGTCCAAATTCAAGTCTGTGTGTAGATCTGCAATATATACTGGGAGGATTTTCATGGTTTCAAAAATAGGAACTTTCTTGTCTAAAATATGTTTTATAATGCTCTCACAATTCTGTGCCACTTTGTGAAAAAAAAGCTCCCTTGCATAATTGTAGTGCCATTTTCTTTACATTCA